AATAAATCTGGAGCTGGTGTGGGGGGTGTCTACAAAAATCATCTTGGAAAATGCTTACTGCATTTTTATACTCCTGTGATGGCTGTTGATGTCCTTGAAACAGAACTAATTGTTGTCTATTGGGCTCTTAATATTGCCAAAATGACTAGCTGGTAAAATTTATGGTTAGAAGTTGATTCTACAACGGTGATTAAAATGTTGAATTATGAGGAAGTCCCCTGGCATCTTTCATATTGGATTAAAGAAATCAGAGATCTAACCTCACAGCTCAAGGTAATCTACACTTTCATATATAGGGAAGGGAACCAGCCTGCCAATTGGCTAGCAAAGCAAGGTTTTAACTCAAAGGATTTCTTAGTTGCTGTTACCCCTCCCCCTAACCTTCAGTTTTTGTTGCAGGGAGATATGCTTGAGGTCCCACATTTCAGAATTGCAAATAAAGATTAATGGAGACAGTTATGCTTCATTTGATGTTCCTCTTTCCCCTCTTTTATTGTTTCTTCCCTTCTGTTTTTGGGGGTTTTTTGAGTTGTTTCCAGCTTTACATTACGGCCCTAAAGAGCAAATTGTTGCTTGTTTCTTTTTGGGAGGACTGTTGATTCCTATATTGAATCAACATGTTTTCCAGCTGATCTTGGTTTTTGTAACCTTTCATTAGTCTAATATGTAGGGAGACACTAGAATCTCCTTATAACAATATATATATATATATATGTGCTCCACATCTCGGCTTATTGGTGTGGCCTCTAGCGTAAGTCCCTCGGGTTGGGGTTTGAATCTCGTGTCGCGGGCTCTTCGGATCAATTAAAACACACTTGGGTTTCAACCCAAATGGGGGCAGCACTATTTAGTGCCCACTGGACCAAATAACGATTCCCTTTTGAATATATATATATATATATATATATATATATATATAGGAATGTTTTCACCCATTGAAAATTCTAGTATGGATGCTCACATAAGTTGTTCCGAAGATGTGATTTACAATGACCAATGCAATGAACAAAACAATGTCTGAGATACAGAAAAAAAAACAATAAATATAATAGAGCATATTATGAAAAGCCAGATTTTATGTTGTAATAACATTACATTTATTATAAAAATACACATATTACACAATTGTGTCAATAATTGCATTCATAAATTAAATGTTCAGCATACATGTAGACATCAGTAAGCCCACATGCATGCACAAAATTTAATAAATAAATTACACAAAATAGATATAACATCGTGTTACTGCTCCTCCATGGAATGGTTTTCAATATAACATCAGTAGATGGTTGAAAAATAGGCATCTAAAGCATATTTGTTAAATAAAAGAAGAGGACATTAAATTCATATTATTCATCATAACGATCGGTCACTTGAAGCACGTTGCTCCTATCCATCGACCTCAGCAACTTTTTAAAAAAAGGGTACCAAAATATCTCCATCAGGGTCGATGGGCAATTCCCATTTAGGGGAGTAGTGGGGAACCATTCCGTCCACCAGTCGATGAGCGCGTAGTGGCCGCTCATCCATACTCCGGCTCCTCGATCATGAGTGAAAGACCACTCGGACAAAACCTTCACCTTTTCAAAGGAGGAGGGGACAAACCTATATATGGAGCTGGAGTTTTTCCTTCACTATGGGAGATGTCACGCCCCATCCTCGTGACAACCCCAGGCTCTCCCTCAGACTCCCGATCAAAATGGGATGAGTGGTGCGACTCACTTCCCCCTATTCTTGCAAACCAATGAACGAGGTCCTGCCAGGAGTTGTCGCAACAACCCAGCCGACTGACGAACAATCGACGGAGCACCAAAATTAGGAACACTAGGGGTCTGGAGAGGAACCTCCTCACTCCCTTCAAAAAAGCCTAACAAAACTACATAAGTACTGTGCCTACGAAAATAATAAGCAAAAAGATAAGAAAATACATCAAGTATATATTTAGCTTCGGCATGTCCCTCAGCCGATCCGGGCGGGTCTAACCAACCCCTGCTCCCCCGCGGCTTCTTCGAAGCTGCCCACTCCTCAACGGCCTTCTCCCGAGCGACCTTCTGATTTTCATACAAGATTCACAACCCTTCGGTCATGGTATAGTACCGTCCAGTCAAATCATACGTTCAACCATCTTCGGGTCGAGATATTGGAATAAGGAGAGGCGTTAAACCTCGATCAACGCCCAGTGGTCTCAAAGATGCCCTGAAAAAGTTTTCACTTTTTTCACCTCGCAGCTAACCAAAGCGCGGATCCTCCGACCACTTGCATAAAAGGAAATCAAAAACTTCCTTTTCCAATCCTTAATCTTATTTTCAAGGCCTAGCAGACGAACCTTGGGACCAACGACGAACTGCACGTAACCATCCTGACCGATTTTGAACAAAAAAGAAATGGTTGAACAACTCGATCATGAAGATAATCCTCATCGTTCGATAGAAGAAAATGAAGGTCATGACAGTAGCCACCGACTTCAGAAGAACCTGGGCAGGAACAATCCCATAACGAGTGAAGATCAACTGCAACTCCCTATATAATGACAGCCAAAGACCCATATTGAACTGATCGTTATAAGAAAAAACTAAGTCGATAGCGAAGTTATTCGTGACTCGCTCGTGGCCAGCCGACGGTCGAAGGTGAATCGAGGGATGCTAGGTCTCCTTCATTTTCATCGCAGAAAGAACAGAAACATCCATAGTCGGAATTGAGCCAAATGATACTTGGGAAAACTTCTATGCCATGAACCTAGAAGTGCGCGTAGGAAGAGAAGAGGAAAATAATAAATGGCATGAGGCATAGGAAACAGAGAAAATAAAGGCCTCGATAACTACTGCACATATAAATACAAGGTATGTGAAGATGAAATAGTGCAGCAAGACAACGTAATGATGTAAGAAACCAAACACAAGTTTCGAGGTAACATTAATCATAAAAAGCTTTTTATTTTCATTTCATTATTTACACATTATAACCATTAGAAACTGCTCCGAGAGAGAAGTTAACCAAGCTATCTCCAGTAACTTCACCCGAGACATGCCCTCCGTGAAGCAATCTCTCTCATATATGAACTCACGACCTAGCCTAAATAGATCGGTCTGACCATCCCTCGTCTAGGCGAGAAGGCCCCCTCTGATGGCACACAGCTCCAAACAGAGGCGCGTCATCTACTCCCAAGCAGCAAATACCTCCCCCTGAAATGTAGAAAACTCCTCGTGCAAAGTAACTATCTCCCTCTCCATCCTATCAACCCTCGCCAAGATCTCACCTATTCCGCAATCGTCATTCCCTCAAGGGTGCCCCGTGGCCCAGGCAAAGAGTTCCTCTATCTTCGCAAGAAGATGCGCCAACAAATTAGAAGAAGACTAGAGCGCCTCTGTTATTTCCTCATCCCTCACCACGCAAGTGGTCTCTTGATGTTCAGCTCCCTGTCCCTCACTGGGAGGTTGTTCTTCCCCACCTATTCTCTGATCTACGGCAGTCGCAACCTCCGCGGGATCATGACCCGAATACGATAACAAGGAATCAATCGTCAAGATCTCTATGGCTACACCAAAGAAAGAACAAAGTGCTTAATGATGTCCAAGTTAAAACACATACCAACAAAGCGATTCCACTTGGACGTGGTGATAGAATTAGCTGCCACACCAATTTTTACTGGCTCTGCACCAGCAAGGGAAGGGCCATCCTTTGGCGGTTGGAGCAAGAATTCTCCTCCAATCGCTGCTTCATCCGTACTAGCCAAAGGGATTGTTGGCTCCGCAATAGTTTGAATGGGTAACTTCCCACCGCCGATGAATGCCAAGTAGGACAGACACCAGATTGACCGTCGATCCACTCTTGGATCCATTCTTGCAACGAGCCTGCAAAAGAATCGGAGGACCCAATCTGATCCTCATGATCGTTAACTTTCAACCTCGCACAACCCTTTTTTTGCTCGCTTCCCCCATGGGAGCTTCATCAGCTAGTTTTCGTTCACATCAATTTTCGGGCTTTGGCTAGCATATCACCAAGGACCTTGAGGAGCGCATCTTTGTCGGCGGACAACACTCTCTCACCGAACATCGTTGCAGACTCAAGCAGAATAATGGAAAAAGATCAGAAGCAGGAAGGGAAAACAAAAATCGAGCGCAAGCTCTCTCTTACTCTAACACGGAGATCCAGAGAAGTCATTTATTAAGTAATTATATCATTCAATTTTGAAGTTGTATATTTGTATCGGTAAAAAAACATTTCTTGTTCTTATGTGCTGCACAGTTTTCAAGAAGCAAGGTAATTAAGGAACAAAATATGCATACGAAAAATACAACACGAATCTCAAAGCAATCCGACGACCAGGACAGAAGGCGATCGTTGATGGATCGAACAACTGACTAACAACACAACAAGGATCTCAAAATATCAGGAGGGCACCAACATGGTAAACGACCTACTAGGTTGGGGAGTAAAAGGTTATGCATTTCACAGTTCTCTATTGTTCATTCTTCCTTCTACTACGCTTTACCTTAGGTGTGTTTCTTGGACACTTTTGGATTCAACAAATCCAAATAATCAAAATCATATCATTCTAACATTACAACAAAAAGATATCAACTCTCAATTAACCAATTTGAATGCAATATAAGAATGATATTGGATATGCACGCAATGAAATAAATCTAATGCATGAAAGTCCTAGAAATAGATAACATCAAATGATATTTCTAGGAGGAACGATAAGAATGGCTACCAATAAATAAAAGGGACATTTACATGCATACCACCCAATTCCTATGTAATTACATATCTAACACAAAAATTCTACTTTTTACATTTCCACCACCCAAATCTTTCACATTACATAAAAAAATACCACCGTTTTAACTTTAAGAAAGTGGAATACACCTTTACATGCATAGGTAAGGTGGCATGTATGTAAAATTCAAGTTTAGGTGTTAGATATGTAAATTCATAGGAGTTGAGTGGTATATTTGTAAATCTTCCAAATTATAATTGTAAATACTGATGCTGACCGTGTAATTGGACCATCCTTGTTGCCCGGGAATGGTCCCTGGGGTTGTAGGAATAATAACAGGCACATAAGCTGGAAGGCATTGCATGCGAGGACTAGACATATAAGGTTGCCCGTTGGCTGATGGCCAAGATGAAATTCCGCCAGCAAAAGGCATGCTAGGTGTTGGCGCCACAGATGATATTGTAGACCGATAGGCAGGGGATCCAGTTAAAGTTAGAGGATATACAGCACCTGGTGCAGGCTGGGGATGGTCAAACTTACAAGCAACTCCAAATTTGCAGGTTCCAGTCCTCATGTAATATGAGCACGATTTCTCATCCTGACAATATATGACACAAATAAGCATGCAAATCCTCCTGATATCCTTTTAACATATATTTAACTAACCATTGCAAACATGAGGACAGCAACTAGCCTATATGTTCTAGGAGGGGTTGACATATAACTTGGTGTTGTGCTTTGAAATGACCAAAAAAAGAAAAAAAAAATGAATCAGAGGAGTCACCTGACGCATTGGAAAACCAAAAATGTTAAATCCCAATGCCCGTGCATCTTGCCTGTCACGTGGATGATGATATTTGCATGTTGCACCAAACTTGCACATCCCTGTTCTTAGAAAGTACTGCAAGCAAGATGGTAAAATATATCAAAGCTGGACATAATTTTTTCCAGGTGCCCTCCTAATTAAATGAAAATATGACACTTAATAAGACGCTGAAGAAAAAGGATTCATATAGCCAACCCCACTTAGTGGGATAATAGTTTGTTGTTGTGTTGTTGTTGTACCCGACCCCTCCCTCCCCCCCAACCCCCTCTAATTATAAAAAGAAGAGCATTTTACTGATAACTGTAAAAGATCCAAGCATTTGATCATAAAATAAAAGCTTATCTAATCAGTTAATAGACACTCCAAGCATCTTGTGAAGTGGAATTTTATAAGAATATCAAAATAAAACTAATTTACAATGAGATAATAAAATTACTTAGCACAATGTTTAAATAATTATCAGTCTACAAAACAGAAAACATGGCTGCATGCAATGATTTTAGTATTATTAGAATTTTTATTAGAGAAATTTAAATAAGTACCACAGAATTGTAATAAATATACTTATGTAACACGTAATATAGTGAAGGTTTGAGATAAGGTATAGGTTATGAATATAATATTATATATATACTCGATCATCGAAATCCTCATTAATCATTTTAAGTCTCTCTCCTTGGACTAAAGCTAGGCTAAATTGTATATAGCTGAATATAAGAAAGAAAAGCAAGATTAATTGTATTCGGTATAGACGTAAGAAAATTAATATATAAATATTGATATTTAATTCCAACTAATTTAATAATACTCACAAATTTCTCTCAATTTTTGGTCGTAGGTTTTCGTGGGAAAATAGAAATATAAATAAGAAGAATACGAGTATAGCATGAATGCAGATAAGCCAAATGGAAGTAGAAATATGCATTTGAGACACATGTATGAAAATGTCCACATGATGCCATGATGTTTCAAGTCCATCATTGAGAAGATGAGAACTATCAAATTCATAGTGAGAGTACCCAAGGAATTGTATGAAGTGATTGTGAAAATCAAAGGAATAAGCCTCTTACATCCACCCATGAAGCTTTTGCTGAAGTTAGGAGAGATGAGAGTAGAAAAAAGCTTATGCTAACTGGAAATGGAAGTTCACTAAGTACGTGAAAGCTCGACTTTGTACACCCATAATTAGTCCCATGACTCAAAGCTCAAAAAGGATCATCACCCATGTGACTAATGCAAGAAAATTGGGCACATCAACGAATAAATATTAGAAACTTCATGGAAAACTTACAGATTGGAAACCTGGACATGGAAGGAAAGATTAAGAGAACAAAGTTAATGGTGCAAACACATCCAAAGGGTCGATTGAATTATTCACCATAGAATAACTTGAAGTACTGAAAACTCATTAGGTGTAATTCAAAAAAAACACGCCAGCGTCATGACACGCCAAATTAATAGATCATTCTCCCATCTTGCTAGCAATGGGGGATTTAGGCCTTAGATCATAAATTCAAGAGTTTCTGATCATATGACTAGATACATCAATACTCTAATCAACTATTAAGAGAATTATACATCTAGATCTGTCAGACTTGCAGATGAACTACAACCAAAAACTTGTTCGAAAAGAGATATGAAGTTCTCTCAAGATATCACTTTTTCCTCTATTTTATATGCTATTCGAGTGGTCCCACCTCCATCTTTTTCTCAAATTTATGAATCTATTGAGTCTATATTTGTCAAACAATAATTTATGTTATGGTATTCTCGTCTGAGCCGTCCTAATTTCAATTATATTGTAAAGTTATATCATCATTTGTTTATCAATACAAAACTTGTTTTTATCGATGTGAGATTTATCAACTAGCTAAAAAAACTAAAAGTATTTATCCCATGACCCAATGCAAACCCTCACACAATTTTTTCATTATTCACAGTGATATTTAAGGGTCTTCAAAAGAAAGAACCCAAAATGAGGCTAGATGATTTGTCTCATTTGTTGACAATCACGCTAAAACTACATGGGTATTTTTAATGAAGGAGAAATCTGAAATAACCCAAATTTTCTAAACCTTCGATGACATCATTCCAACTTAATTCCAATGCAAAATTTAGATCCTCAAAATTGATATAATAGAAAGAATATTTCAACTCCATCCTTATATCATGTCTTTTAAAAATGGAATAATCCATGTGAATTCATATATTGATCCCTCACAACAAAATAGGATAATTGAGAGAAACAACAGACAACTCCTTGAGGTATCCTTCTTATTTATAATTTTCCATGAAGTTCCATAATATTTATTAGGAGAAACAGTTTTTACTGCAACCAATGTTTAAAATTTCGCAATTGACTGTTTGAGACTTATATAGACACACACACATAGAAATACATACATATTAGCATCAAAATTTGAAATTTACCCCCTTCCAATAATGCTTCGACATCTCATCTATATAAAAGCTTGGCCAACTGAAAGCTTTGAATTAAAATCTTTGCGCTAAAATAGTTTCTTGCATGAAAAAAATGTTTTTGTATGTGCTAATGAAATATAAGGATCTATTGTAGTAGATTAGTGAACAGATCCCAACACAAAGCCACAAACTTAATTTAAAATATGAACGACAGTGTCGGTCGGTGCAACAGAAGGCAGTGCCGAGAGCTATAAAAGGACAAAGCAGAAGATTCGGTGGTGACGGGACAGTGGTAAAATAACATGCTACATGTGAAACAATAAGTTCAAGCTAAAGCATCAGGTGGCTGTGACGGTGTCGATGACACAAGGATTAGGTGGCATGTCAACAGCGTAGAGTAGTGCAACATGTGAAAATCCGAGTATGAGGAGATGGGAGACAATAGGCTTAAGCAATAACCCAAGCATGATTTGAAATGTTTGCTAAAACTATGAGATATAATGGATATTCTCAAGGCCAAGCTGATAATACATTGCTCATAAAACCCACTCAGAGAGGTAAGATTGTTACAATAATAGTATATGTGGATGATATGATTCTTACTGGTAATGATGAAAGATAAATTCTTATAATTAAAGAAGTGATTGCCACCGAGTTTGAAATCAAAGAACTAGGAACCATGAGATATTTTCTAGGCATGGAGGTAGCAAGATCCAAGAAAGGTAGTGTTATATCACAGAGGAAATACATCTTATAACTACTAAAGGAGACAAGGATGATTGGATGCAATCTGATGATACTCCAATGGATTCCAACAAAAAATTCTAATAGGGGTGAAGAAAGTATATCTGTGAATAAGGGAATATATCAAATATTGGTAGGAAAACTCATCTACCTGTCACATATTAGGTCAGATATTACATACTCTGTCAGTATTGTGAGTCAATACATGAATAACCCAAATGAAGAACATTTTGAGATGGTGTACAAGATTATAAGGTTTCTCAAAATGACTCATGATTATGGATTAATTTTTGAGAAAACCAAAAATAAAGAGATAAAAGTCTAGACTGATGCAAGTTGGGCTAAGGAACTCACTGATAGAAAGTCCACAAGTTATTGCTCCTATGTATGGGAAAATCTAGTAATATGGAGAAGTAAGAAGCAAGATGTTTTTAGAAGAAGTGTAAAATCAGAGTATAGGACACTTGCTTTAAGCATCTATGAAATAATTTGGATTTAAAATTTGCTGAGGGAATTGGGTGTAACTTTAATAGATCTATACAGATGTTTTATGATATTCAATCAACTATCAATATTGCCAAGAATCCTATATATCATGACAAAACCAAAAATATTGAAACTGATTGACACTTTATCTCTGAAAAGGTTAATGATAGAATTATACAACCAAGCTATAGTCTGACATACCAAGAACTTGTTGATATCTTCACTAAAGCTATTCATTTAAACACATTGTCCGAGTTCAATATCAAGCTTGGTTTCCTACAATATCCCTAGCCCAACTTGAGGGGGAGTGAGAAAATTTAGAAAGGTCCCGACCTCCTTTCCTTGGTGGGTCAGCCAATCACCTAAAGGATAATAGAGGATTTATTTGAAGACAACTTTAGAAACTCCTTGATTAGTTTTTTTCTTTTGCTATTTATATTTTTAATATTTATTTCAGAATTATTTCCTTTGCACATTTAGATTAGATATATTTATCAAGATTGAAAATTAGGAGGGACTAGTTTCCCTTCAAGGCTAGGCGGAAAGGTCAAGATAGCTTTATACATACTGTCCATGCCCATGATAATAGTTTATCAACTTGCTATCTAGCAAAAGCCCTTACTGATCTATGCTAACGGAACTACTAACAAAAATAAGCAAACATGTTATTAAGGTACTTGCTGTTGGAAAAAATTTGGACTAAAATTTCCTAAACTAAATTAAACTAGGAAATACAAAAACTTGTTCTTGTTCAACAGAATATTGCAATTCTTTTAGAAAACAACTTCTATTTTTCAAGAAAACAATCAATACACTTATAGTTAGATAGCAAAATAGAAAGAATTTTCTTCTAGTTTAAGAATAAATATCCTGTTTCCTTAGCTAACTTTAGCCAGGGAAATCCCAAGCCAATTTTTTGCCGTTGCTGTAAAAGTAACTTTGTTAGAAATCATTAATCAATAAGTTTACCTTTGCTTGAGATTATTCATATATATGCTGGGATAGATAAACTTTGTTTAAGTTTCTTCCAAATTACAAGTGAATGAACTTATTTAATTCATGAACAAAGCAAGTATCATACTTCGCATCAAACACAGCAGTTCAATTACAACACTTCCAAATCCTCGGCTCGTCTTTACACAAAGCAAATGATAGTGTTAGTTGCCTAAAGCAGAACCATGATAATCTTCTCTAGTAATTGCACGCTTTAGGACAGCTTTATGCGGATTCTAAAATACAAGAAACTAAACTTCTTAAAGGTCAAAATTGTCAAAAATATAACTGGAGTGAAACATTGCATTGAATTTAATATTTATCAAGAAAAAACATGACCTTTTATGAGATTTAAACAACCTACAATAAACTCTGCACAACAAAAAACGCAATAAAAAATTAATCAGGTCGAGAAAATTTACCTGACAGTCAGGCTGACCAACTCTTTCTGGAAGTTCACCTTTTGCCCGAGTACCCTGAAGATACCGATGCATTGGTATTTTATTAGCATAAATTCTTAAATATATGAAAGCAAGCTCTAACAAGGATTAAAAAACCCAATGCATCTCAAAGGAAGTTAGAAAATAAAAAAACCTTTAATCAAATATTATCAGGAGGCAAATCTAAGAATATCAGCCTCACCTGCCCAACATAAGTTGGGTGATTGTAGCGGCAGGTGCTTCCATAACCACACGATCCTGTCTTAATGTAGTATATGCAGTCAGGCTCTCCAGGGCGATCAGGATATGGTTCATATGGATTTGCATAAGCATCAACTTCATCATAATTTCCCTCAACTTTAAGCCGACGCATCGATTCTGCAAAGAAAGATCATCAGTAACCAACACCAACATTTTCATCCGCACTTATAAGCTGCACCAAACGGGCCCTAAATCTCCTAACCCGCCCTGACGTTCCTCTTTATGTCCTTATAGTCCGAGTTATATAAATTAAAACAAGAAATAACCACCATAACATGATACGACAACCAGAAAGCAAAGAGAAGAAACACAAAAAACTTACCATCTAAATTGTGATTCGTTGAGGCATTCGAATAAGCCGAAAGTGCATTGCTCTGAAACTCCCCTGTATCCGGCATCGGTGAGGCGATCAAAGCTCGACTTCCTCTTCCAAATACCACAAACAAACTTCCTTCCACCACCAGCACCGTCCGACCAAAAAATCAAGCAACTATCGAATCTCCGGATCAAATCAGCGCAATCTCTGTCCGCGAACCTCGATCTCTTCAAGCCCCAAATACAATCATCGATTGCCTCAGATCATCGGATGCTCCTCCACCCTAGCATTAAGGCATCAAACATCCATGTCGTTGGGGATCGACAAGGAATCTAACGCTCCCCGGCTCAGATGCTCCTCACCTACAAAGCATCGAATTCGAAGAACGCATCAGACCAGGTCCCTCGCTCTCTCTTTCTCTCTCTCTCTTCTCCTCGTGCCCCCGATTTCAACACGAGGAATTTTGGGAACTGGGATTTTCTGCCATAAGAAAATCACAGTTTTTTTTCGTATTTTGACATTTATTGAATACCATATTAAATAATAGATACGCACATATATACATTGATACGGTCACTTTTTGCCCATAATTTATGATAGATGTTATATTTTTCTATTTTTATTACATTAAAAAAGCAATGTGCGGGCGCTGACACCCTAATTCGCCTGAATTCGAGCGTGCCAACCCCGTCCTCTGGGTCCCACAAAGTCATGTCCTGCAACGTGTCGGTATTTTAGTGGATCTTCAGTAGAGTTGGGTCCTGCTTTCAGAACATCAGCTGCAGATTGATTTTCACGCCGCAGGGTTTTAGTCCAGTACATACACCACACGTGGATGCCTCCCCGATCCGATGTATTCTCCTTAACCATCACGAAGGTACATAAGGAAATCCTAGCCGTCCAATCGCTTTGGTTTCTGCAAATCCGACGATAGGTGCTGGGGAGACGTACGTAGCGTCCGATTGAATTGAAACCGATATGTGGGGCAATCTGGGGCGTTGATTTTAGTGAAGACCTCACACGTTTAATGTGATGTGATGGCGGAGCCACAGACACGCCAGGGGTTTGGACACAAACGGCCACCTTATCGATTTTTCTTCAACTGTTTTTTTTTATGCTAATTATATTTCTATTTATAGTTATCGCTTCGTCATGATCTTATTCTCACCGCTCAATTTGCTAAGTTTTTGGAACTTATTGAAACGATATATAAAAGAGATGCATTAATTACTTGATAAATAGAAATTTGATTGCTTTATTATATTAAAGTCTCAGAGAAAAAAAAAATCTTTTTTAATTGTAAATAATAAGTTAAACTTTATGATTTTGAAAGAAAAAATAGTTTATCTTGAGGAAGAAAAAAAAAATAACATGGAGCACTTGAAATGGTTATAATATGGGGCAATTTTATATCATAATGATATCGAGATTATAAATGTTATCATTTTATATTTTACATACTTTATGGTCATCAAATTAATAAATATATTTGTTTAATATTTAATTTTAAGTAAATAAATTATAGTATTGATATATCACCAAAAAAGTTGTTTAATCAAGCATGAATTTTGACACAAATACTTAAACCTTCAAAATTTACTTTTTCGTTTCATCTCCATCTTTATCAAATTCATGGTATAATATGAATCTGAATGAGTTGAATGCAAATAACTCAAGGTCATCCATTTCTAATGTCATCAAAGCATTCATATTTTGAAAAAGTATTAAATAATAAAAAATGAGTCATTTTAAGCTCTTCGATTGTGTTGAGTTTCTAGGAGTTAACAAAAATAATCAAAGTATCGCCCACATGTTTCTTAAAGTCCCTCATTCCACATATGAATGGACACATATGAAGGGAAATTTAAGTTATCAGACTCATATATTTGAAAAATTGTATTGCTTTGTCTTCATTGACTATCATAATCTAATTACTATTGTTTGAACTACTTTTGCTCTACTACTATTATCCTTTCATCATTGTTAAATTTTTTTCATGTAAACATCGTCTTTAGATCTTTGTATGGAAATGACACCCTATATATATGTCATAGGGGGTGTTTAGTAAATAATATGATTATTTCACACTTAATTTGAATGTTATAAACTCTTACATATTTGTAACCGACTGACATCTTTCGATCTTGGTAACCGGTGTCGAGATCGTTTCATCTCTGTAATTGTCATTAGCACCATTTCATGTTCATAACTGCTCGACTTGACGTATAATCTTTGTTCGATCAGCCAAAAGTCATTCGGTCGACCGGCAGATCTTCGGTCAACTTTTTCGATGTAATCCATCATGAAGATTCATTGTTTTCAGAAAGGGTTATTACATTAGGCAGATGGTGCAGCACTATAATATGATAAGTAACCTTCTTTCGATCGATAAATCTTCATGAAAGGGAGGGTGAGAGTTCCACAAAGTGATCGTTGATCGTGCAAATACCTTTGAATTAGTTAAGTTATCGTTGGTCTTGGTGTGTGTCATTTTGTAGTTTCAGATGAACTTTTGCTTGGTCGACCCATGATTCTACCGACCAAAATGATGTTAGATAGCTCGATCCTTTGCTGCTTTCTTTGCGTGATAATTTGAATCTCATCTAGACTTATGCAATTATATTTTTGATACATATATTTAGTTCTTCGATTCTCTTACTTCTTTGAAAGTGACAACTATCACAAGAATAAATGAATTAAATGAAATAATTGCTTATTTAATGAGTAATAAGTACTACCAGTAATTGTACTCCTTGGACTTTCGTAACTCTTTTCCTTATAAATAAGGCACAATCAATGCTTCCCTTCTTTATTTATGGAATTTTCTTGCCCTTCAATCATTTGTAGCAGAGGATGAGGTTGTCAGATGCTAAAAAACCTATGAACGAGAAAACATTGAAGAGAATTTTTGGGCTCCATAATTCTAATATTTGCCTTTCAGGGGGAGAGAAAAAGAGAAAGCAGGACGGTTCTCGACCAACTCTAAAAAAGAAAACTATTGAAGAGGGTCGGCCGACTGAGAAGGGGTTGGGAGATGAGCAGCAAACAAATGGTACCAAAGGGCTCGCTGAAGGGACTAGTCCTAAGGGGTCCAGTTTGATGAAGTAGGAGTTGATAAAGAAACAAAGGGTAAAGAAGAATGCAATGTTTTTTGACTCACTGCCACTATTAGAGGACGGTAGTGGACATCACTAATGTGCCTGTCTTGACTCCTGATCCACTCTGACAGTGACCGCCCCAACTGCTACCTCCAGAACGGGCGCCTGTAGAGATGGCTGCACTAGCTCTGTTGCTAGAAAGTGCCTTGCCTCAACCTTTGGTCGGTGAGGTAGTTTAGGGTGATATTCATGTCTATTGAGGGGATTTTTGGTATGTTGGAGATAGAGAGATTATTCAGTAATTTTCTTACTTATTCAGTTTTTACTATCCAATCTAATGACCCATTTTGATGTTGCAAATGAAGTGATGAAAATTATCGACACTTGGCACGGAGGGGCCAGGCAACTTCTTGCTCCGGAGGCGTCTTCTAGACCTTCCACCCACTTAATTGAATCAACATTTGACCATCCACCACCTCCTATTGTGAAAGCATCTGATTCATGAATATTGGCTGCTTTCTTAGGATTTACCCTCTTAGAAAGCCAATGAAAATTATTAGTAGTTATCTCTTCAATTAAAGCATAAGCGTCATGAAATTGTTTTGATATCACTGAACCACCAACAACAACATCGATAATAGATCTAAGAGATCAAGCTAATCCATTGTAAAATGTTTAAATTATTAACCAATCTGGTATAACATGGTGTCGACACTTTCTCAGTAGTCTTTAAATCATTCCCATGCTTCATAAATAGATTCTCCTTTAAACTGACAAAAAGATGTAATATCATTTCTAACCCTTGCATTTTTTTATGGTGGAAAATATTTAGCAAGGAATTTCTACGTTAAATCACCCCTAGTTCTGATAGATCCAAGTGCTAACGAATGTAACCACATCTTAGCCTTATCCATCAGTGAAAAAGGAAAAAATCTAAACCTTATAGGATCATCTGATACACCATCATAGTTACATTAGCACACAATTCTAGAAATTTCATAAGATGTAAATTTGGATCTTCAGTTAGTGCTCTCATAAACTGGTTATTTGATACCATTTGGATAATATCAAGTTTAAGTTCAAATGAATTAGCCACTACAACATGTTTTAGAATACTACAATGAAGTTCATCTACTCTAGAGTTTGCATAATCTCTTAAAGTTCTAAGCTCTTGATTATTTTCAGCATTTTGATTCTTTTGGTTTGCCATTTCTTGAAAATTTTGCTCTTATTCTGTATTTTTATTTTTTTTTATTTTTCTAATAGTTCTTTCTAATTCAGATTCATAGGGCACTAGTCCTTTAGAACCTGAACTAGCATACATTACTATAAAACAACATAAAAATAAAATCACACAAACAAGAACTTATATATAGAAACAACACTACAATATTCCAACAATAAATCTAAAAGTTTAAATAAGATTTTCTAAAAATAAAAATTTGCTTTCTAAAAATTTCCTTAAAAAATTTTTATTCTACTCGACAAATGACACCAAAACTTGATCCTAATTTTATATGACAGTACGATGTATGCAATGATAGTCTTAATTTTTCCTTACTTAAATTTCTTACTTTGCAACTGCCGCTTACTTTGCAACTGCTTCTTACTTTGCAACTGCCGCCAAAAACTTGACTTTGAAGCAAATAAAAATGCAATTATTATATTTAATTATGGGATATTACACAAATATATGTATTTTTATCAAGTAATATAAAACTTTTTGATTAAGCCTCGAATATCGAACCCACAGGAAGAAAAACAATATGTAACTAAATCAAAAGAAATTAGATAAATAATTTTACTTTGCAAAATATTCTTACTCAAACTATAGATGCTATAATAGGAGTTAAAGTTCAATTCTTTTCTGTTATTTTCTCATAATTAAAAGTAAAGTAAACAACTAACTAAATTTAACTAGATATTTGTAAGATGAAAGCAATATAAATAAAATATCATTTTCCTTATCATGAATCAGTAACAAGTATAGGAATTCTATTGTGAAAGTATTCAAATTATTTTGTGCCAAATATGAGCAATAATATTCTTTACCCTTACTAGATATGCTATAAATAACATTAGCTAATTTAAAGTTTGAATGATATTGAAGACAGGTTAGGTAAGGAAGATACTAGCTCTCACTCTAGAGTTCCCTATTCTCTCTCCACCTGGGGGCTAACATCTCAAATCAAAACCTAAAACTATAAAACAAATTGGGGGCTCTAGCCTGTCACTCTAAAGTCCTCTAATTCTATAACCTTCAAAGTTTATTTCCCTATTTATTTGCACTCAATCACGTGAATTACATTCTCATCCATACAATCTCATGTGATTCTTACCATTAATTGACTGAGACAATACCATCTCGGATCTTACGT